GGGGCATTAGACAAGTCAGGATTCTTTTCACAAGAAACCTCGGTAGAATTGGAGTCAGCTGTTTTTGTTTCTGATGCTAGTATGAATCCTAAAGAAAATATGGCAGACTCTTTGGCTATTGTACCTGTTGATGAGTTGCTGAATAGTGATTTGGTAGTTGATCGTGAAGATGCTGTGAATAAGGTATTGAACTGCAGTGCTGAGATTATTGATGAACGGCATCTAAATGGAGGTTTGTCTATCAATCCAGACTCTGCCTGCACGGAGCAGGTTCAAGAGAAATCTTATAGGGATCAATTGATTTCTGGGGTAGGAGATGAAGGACCAAATATGAATAGATTGGAGTACTCCGATATATCCTTCCAAAATAAAGGGGTGTGTGTTCTACCTCAGGTTTTGTTGGTGTTTCCTCCTAATCTTGATGGAAATTCTTGCACCAATTCTGTTATCAGCAATGATGGAATTTGTAGTACTAATTACAGAGGCAGAAGTACCCTAGATTGGCGACCTTTGGACACTCCAGCTGAGTGTTGCCCTGATGCTGTTGATGAATATGCAGATTTTTTTAAGGGAATGTCTTCAAAATTCTCAACAACAGTAGTTAAGCAGCATATTTCATACTTGGGCTGGAAAATACATAGTGCAATGGATAAGGGCAGGCCCAGACTACGATACTTGTCTCCTGCTGGAGAATACAAGTACTCTCTTCGTCAAGTGTGTAAGAAGTTGAAGAAACACAAGAGAGATACACTTTTTTCAATCTCTCAAGATGCAACAGCCACAAGAGATTCCACATCCTAATTATTATCCTCAGAAAGTAGAGTCTCCTTGCTTCAAGGTATTTATTTTCAAACCTGAATATTGCCCTGAAGCAGTTGTGGAATATTATATGCATGCAGCAGGCAAGACAATCAAGAAGGAACTACGAAAAATGATTTCAAAAGCAAAAAGGCACCTCTCAGCTGTGGGGTGGGTGTTTGTGTACTTGAATGCAAAGTCAAGGAACTTGCACTACAGGTCACCCAGCGGAGTACTGTATCGTACACTTCAAAGTGCATGCAAAAGTTGTATGGATGAAGGAGTTTCTGAAAAAAGACCTGCTGAATGCATGTATGTTGTTGAGGAAGATGAGGGCCAGTTGACTAGAAATAAATTATGTTCTGCAGCAAGTAATTTGGATTTTCAGGAAGGCTTGGTACCATTAAAGACTCTGTCCAAAAAGTGGTCTAGAGATTCTGGTATCATTTTACAGTCGAGTAAGCTTGGTAATGTGAAAGTTCAAGGTCGTAGAAAACGCCGAAGGAAGAGAAATGATACTTTATCAGATCTTGCACCTGACTTACTTCAAAGACAGCCTTACTTACATGGTAGAACGGATGGATCAACAAAGGATCAATGTACCAGCCCTCCAAAGTTGAGAAGGAGAAAGGTATCTGGAGCTTTGAATCGGTTAAAAAATGGTCTGGATGGTAGTCCCCCGACTCGTGTGCTTAGGTCAAGCAAATGGGTGCAGGAAGCGGTTACATCAACTTCCTCGCACAACAATCCTCGTACTGTCTTATCTTGGTTGATAGACAATAATGTGGTTTTACCAAGGGCAAAAGTACATCATCGTAGCACAAAGGATAGTCATCCAATGAAAGAAGGGAGGATAACTCGTGAGGGGATCAGGTGCAGCTGTTGTCAAGAGGTGTATACTCTTAGTTGCTTTGGGAATCATGCTGGCAGCAGTTACTGCAGTCCTTCTGCAAATATTTTTCTGGAAGATGGTAGGTCTCTCTTAGATTGCCAGATGCAAATTATGCATGATAGAAGGAAGAGGAGCTTGCGAAAAGAACCACGTGATAGGATAAAGGGCAATTGGCGCCGAGGCAAAAATGATTACATTTGTACTGTGTGTCACTATGGTGGTGACCTAATTTTATGTGATCAATGCCCATCATCATTTCACAAAAGTTGCCTTGGCTTGAAGGTAGATTGTTTTGCTTGAGTCTTTCTAATGCCTTGCTATAAAAAGAAAAATGTTAGTTTTTTAATTTTTTTTTCTTCGTTTAAAAAAAAATTTATCCTTTCCTAAAAAATGTTTGAGATTCTTGGCTTCTTGTCTCAGGCATAAATTGTTTTGCTTCTGCAGTATGTTCCAGATGGTGACTGGTTCTGTGCATCTTGCTGTTGTGGAATTTGTGGCCAAACCAACTTCGAAGAAGATAAAGAGCCTATTATGGATGATAGTAGTGTTCTCACATGTGGTCAATGCGAGCATAAATGTATGAAATTTTATCTGTTTTAGGTCCTATAGCCGATGCGCCTGTGAACTTTGTGTATGTGGACACACATTTGAAAAGTTTGTGATTTTAAATTTTAAATTTGATGTAGATCACAAAGGGTGCCTGAGGAAAAGGGGTGCAGATAAGTTGGAAAGCGATCCAAAAGGAAATTGGTTTTGCACCAGAAATTGTAAAAAGGTATCTCAAGCATGTCATCACCTAGTTTCCCTTCAGAGCTTAGTTGCTTGTTTCTTAGCCTGTTTAAGAAAAGAAAAACCAGAAGCATGCGTTTATCTTTTCTTCATTCCATTAAGATCAAAATTATTTTGAAAGAGTTTCAGTGTCGTGTTTTTTCTGTCAGATGTTTTAGTGCGAGTTATGAATCTTATTTTTGCTAACATTATATGAACGAGTTACTTGTCCAATCCATTTTTAACTCCAAGTTGATAATTTTGGATACGATTGTTTTGAATTTTCAGATATTTTTAGGCCTCCACGAGCTTCTAGGGAAACAGATTCCAGTGGGAGATAACAATCTATCTTGGTCACTAGTCAAGTCCATTAAGTCTGATATTCATGATACTGATGAACCGGATATTGATGCCATTGAGAGTTACAGCCGACTCAATGTTGCTCTTGATGTGATGCACGAGTGTTTTGTGCCTGTTAAGGAACCTCTTACCAGGAGAGATCTTGTAGAGGACATCATCTTCACTAGAGGGTGAGAAATTCAAACTGTCATTGTCAGAACTTGTTTTGTTGGCGTCACTTGCTGAAATACTGATAACAGTTGAGCTTGGCACATGAGACATATGTTGATTCTCCCCTATAAACTAGTGTTTATCATTTAAATTTTGTTTAGTGATAATTCAATCAATTTCTTATTCACTTCCTAAGACTCATTGTTGGAATTTTGCAGGTCAGATCTTAACCGTCTGAACTTCCGAGGGTTCTATACTGTGCTTTTGGAGAGAAATGACGAACTAATCACTGTGGCTACTGTAAGGTGAGCTTTATTAAGCTTCTTATTAAAAATGGGTGAGCTTTGTGTCCTAAGCGATTGATTCCTAAATTGCTATTTTCTTGTTCGAAGGATCTTTGGAGGCAAGGTGGCTGAAGTACCTCTTGTTGCTACCAGATTTCAATATCGTCGACTTGGAATGTGTCGTATACTAATGGATGAACTTGAAAAGGTAATGCATCGAGTGTTCCTACAATTCGTTGTGACTGTCTGAGTTTGCTCGTTTTCAATTTCACGTCCTTTTATGGATGATTAAGTGTGATGGACCGTACTACCTGGACCTGTTGCACATGTAAGTAATTTTGTCAAATTCTCATTATTGTCTCCACATTTTTTCTTCTCTCAGATGCTTATGCAGTTAGGCGTGGAGAGATTGGTTTTGCCAGCTGTCCCCAGTGTACTAAACACATGGACAACTTCATTTGGGTTCTCTACGATGACAGCTTCTGAGAGGCTACAGTTTCTGGATTATACTTTCTTGGACTTTCAGGGTACCATTATGTGTCAGAAACAGTTAATGAAAAACCCTCCAACTGAGGCAGTCCCTTTAGAAGGTATCTTTTATGTGCTTAACCTTTTTTTCTTTTTGCACGGAGAGATAAAATGATATCCATCAAGTTACCATACTAATTGCCATACATTTTCTTATATGCCATCTTGCAGGAACCCAGCTTGATCTTTGTTTAGATACCTATGAAAGTCATGATAATATCGATGTTGATAGGTCCAGTGCTGTCTCTGAAGTGTATCAAGCAGAACAATTTGAGGATAGCGGAATTGTGCACCAAGGAGTGGAGTATGTCTCACCTCTCACTAACTTATATCTAGAAACTGAAATGATACTCATAATTCTTCAAGACTAAAAGTCATGATGCTGATAATCTTCTGCATTCATTTTAAAGAATTTGTGCAATTGATTTAATTGTGGTTAAAGCAGTTTGGATGAAAATTAGTCTTGTTCAATTAAGAAAAAGAAATTGGAAAGCCAGCCTATATCAATCCCCTGTTAGTTAATTTTGGTTTAATTCAAGTTACATAAGCTTTCTTTTTACATGTGCACAATTATTGACCATGCAATTTTTCACCAGCAATGCTGCAGGCAACAAAAGTAGACCATGCTTCGGTGAGAGCAGTCCAGAGTTTTCCTCCATGGAAAATGCCATTAAAAAGAGGGCATGGGATGGCTGCTACAAGCAGTACAAGCGAAGGAGGATATCCGCCAATGGAAGCTGATTTATGCTTTACCTCCACAGCTAGATGATCGAATGTAACGTAATCAGCAGTGTGCAGCGACTGTTTTTTGCTGGCGTAGTTGGATAGACGTATTAGTACGGTTCCCAAAGTTTTGCTTGAGGAGATATATGTAGTTCTTTCTTGTACATAACATTCAAGGAAGGGGGTTGGGGGAGAGCTTGGTGTCTTGTTCATATTTTGAAGTATAGCCTGGTGTCTCTTCGAAGCCTGATCATGTTTATAAAAAGTTGAAGAAGGTTGCCAACCCATTTATTTATATGATCCAACAGCATACAAAATGAATACCAAGTTAAACTGATTATGATCGATCAAACATCAAATGCTTTTCAGCCCACTTGCCTTGTCCAATAACTTCCAGCGTGTTACTATAGCATGGTATTGGATGATCCTTTGGGTACTACAGAGTCTACTGTCATAGTGATGGCTGTGACTATTATTTTGATAATTGTTATATTGTACATGTGAGAGAAGCAATAAGGAGAGAGAGATTTCACATTCATATTTTTGTCCTATAATTCGGGAATTTATAGAACTCTTCATAGCCTTTGGTTTGTACCTGATTTTGTATCTGAGTTGGAGAGTGACAAGGAGGCTAGAATAATTGTTAGGTCAGAAGCAAGAGCGAAGACATTCCCCATAAGCTACATATATACAGAGTAATGCATGTGTGGCTTAATGTAAACCCTAGCCCATTATGGATTTACCTAAATGGGCTTACTCTTAATATCAAGCCCTATAAGTGAAATATGGCAAAGGCCCACAACACTCAGTCCAATAGTATTCCAGGCACAAACGAAATATAATTGGCTATGACGCCACCTACCTTACTAGAAAAATACTTAAATAAGAACCAAGATGAAGAACAACAACGCTTCACACGTATAACCAGACGCTCTCAACTTAAATTATATTATTCAAGTGTTTGATTATCATTATGATATTGTGTTTGTCTGTTTCTTTGGCTATCAATAGATGGTTAAACAATTTTCAGTTTAATCAAATTTTGTAAGGATATTGTTGTTCGAATCAAGAGATCATTTCATTAAACTTAAATAAAGTTACTATTCAAGTGAATCATGTGGCTTATATGGAGGTTCACATTTATGATCCATATATGGCACCGTCACTATAGAACTTAATATGGAGTTCAAATGCATTATAATATACTTCAATTGTTTGATATTGGCAAATAATAATCCAATCCAATTAAATTTGAATAATAAAAACTAAGTCCAATTTTATACACGACCCCAATGGCTAACAGAAAAATGGAAGCAGGATATTGTTTAGTTTCACTCAAAATTGCAAATGTTTATAGATATGAAATTTGACAGGTGAGTTAAAGTACGTTGGTTAGGACAATATGTTTGCCCCTTCACCTGAGTTTAAATCCTCCTATCTTGTTTAGACTATCGTTTTGTATAAAAATGGAAATTTATAAATGATTGTGAAAGATTTGAATTCAGGTAGCTGGCTGCTCATGCAGCACTAGACACATTTTGCAAGTTGCATTCCACGTTCCTCCTAAATACACCTAATGGAGACATTGGCCAATAATAGCTCACCAAACATGTCTCACATTCTTGAAGATCCTTAACTCATGTGTTCTTTCACCCTTCCCAAACACTCTTCACAAAGTACCAATAACTGCTACGAACTAAAACCAAAACTTTGGACACTAAAACTTGTGCTTTCAAATAAACCTCACTTCAATACAGAAAAAGATTCCAAAGCCCCTCTTTTCTCTTTGAAAAACTGAGTCTTTCACATTGTGAATTGACGACAGTCAATGCTGCCATGCAATGCCTCAACAAAATTATTAAATGCTTAAAAGTTTTTTTGTCGTGATTAATAAACCCGAATTCATGACAATAGAAGGTGACTAATTTTGGATGGTGGTGTTTCACAAGGCTTGCCCCTAAATTTTCCATAAAGCAAAGTAAACACAAGAATGATGTTCTATGTACATGTTGGTAAGTAAAGCAAAGAACATTTACTTTCCAATTGGAGTTGCCCTCTTTCTTGAAAAGGCGCAGACCTACATTTTAAACTCTGCTTCCTTGTATAATAAATGAGAGGGAAAGAATCCAACTTTGAGGCGCCTAACATAGCAGCACAGAGAGAGAGAGAGAGAGAGAGAGAGAGAGAGAGAGAGGGCCATAGCAAGCAACCAAGTAGAGAATTGAGATGTCCTCACCCCACATTGGCTGCCTCCCTCCCTCCCTTCAACATTAAAAGAAAAAAAAGTGCAGACTAGTGAGCACCGGACCTCAGCACACAACCCTGCTGGTTGGTTCCAACTTCATGAAAATCTCTTTAATTTGAGAAATTATTGTATGTGATGTGAGTAGTGTATAGAATTCACTTGAATAGTTCGGCTATGAATTGGATTGGACGTAAATAAATATGTTATCAACACATTTGCGACAATATTCATGCAATATCAACACACAATGAGAACTTATATTCACTTGAATTATAAAAATGGGTACTATTATTAATATCTAAATTATGTAAATTTAAGACCTAATACACATGTTACGATTTGGATGAATGTAATCGTGCAATACGCCACATCGCCTCGTCGCTCTAAGACACCCAATAATTTTTCTTCTTCTTAACAAAAAGATCACACACACTGGATTCATGGTGTGTGGACAAAAACACTTGCAGACAATGTGAAGAAAGGTAGAAGTTCGGTTCCGGGGTCCAAATCAATCTCACCAGTCCGTTTTCATTTTTCAACTCACGTGAAGAGTAAACCCATCTCAGCAACCCTCACATGTACACAACAAATCTAAAACCCCACCCCTCTTTTTTCATTTTATATTTTATTACATATATATATATATATATAGATATATAACCCAATCAGGACCAAGATTTCAACTTACATTAGCTCCATTTCTCTCTCTCTCTCTCTCTCTATCTGTTTCTTCTTTTTCAGGTTTTGCTTTTATCCGTCACCCAATAACACCTCTCTACAATGGCTCTTTTCTGTTCCCAATCTATTGGTTCATGTTTAACTATTCTTTGCCTGGTTTTGGTCCAATGCCGCTCAGCTTTGATACTGAGCATGAAGAAGCACCACCACAGCTACCACCACCACAGAACAGCTCCAATGTTCCAAACCAACCAAAGCAATTGTGCTTTGTTTGCAGGCACTTGGGTCCAAGATGACGATTACCCAATGTACCAATCTTCTGAGTGTCCATTAATCATAGACCCTGAGTTCAACTGTCAAATGTACGGCCGCCCAGACACCGGCTACCTCAAGTACAGATGGAGACCCCTCAATTGTGAGCTCCCAAGGTAAGCAATTACTTCAAAATGTTGTCTTTGGAAATGGGTTTGTGTTGGTTTTTGTTTTTTATATGGTGGTGACTTTTGGTGTAGCTTGTTGTTCTTGGTAGGTTCAATGGGCTTGAGTTTTTAGACAAAATGAGAGGGAAAACAGTGATGTTTGTAGGTGACTCGCTTGGGAGGAATCAATGGGAGTCTTTGGTTTGCTTGATTTACTCTGCAGCTCCTCAAACCCAGACACAAATGGTCAAGGGAGATCCACTCTCAACATTTAGCTTCTTGGTAAGTCTCCGATTTGTTCCCCCCAAAACTTACTTAACTAGGAATTTCTTTGCTTCATTCTGGGTTTTGGTATTTTGGTTTCTTGAAGCATTTGATTCAATGCCAATGCCCAAATACACACATCAATATGGTTCTGTTCTAAATTTTCAGTAAGCAAAACAGAACAAGAACCACCGTAGTTGTGAAAATTAATGGTTATTATTTCTGTGAGAACATATATGGTGTGAGGGTTTACAATTGTTCATACCAATTCCTGTGTGTGTGGGTTTTGAATTTTAGCGAACACTGTTCTGGTCGTAGAAACTAAAAAAATTAGAAAATCCAGTTCATAAATGAAGAAGCTTTTCTGTTTTTTGCTCACTTTTTAACAATGCTTTGAAATTCGAGTAGTACAAAAGAATCAAATAGGGATACTGTTTTGAGGGACCCTTTGGACCAATTGGTGCGTACAGCAGGACACCACCATCATGTTCTTTGTCTACAAAAAGTCACGAGCTAGGAAATGAGAGCATCGTATCAATCCAAACACGGCCTTATTGGGTTTTGCTGCTATACTGCAGGACTACGGTGTGACAATACAATTCTATCGAGCTCCGTATCTGGTCGACATAGATATGATGCAAGGAAAGAGAGTTCTAAGGCTTGAGGACATCTCCGAGAACAGCAAGGCGTGGCGGAACGCCGATGTGCTGTCATTTAACACCGGTCACTGGTGGAGCCACAATGGAGGTCTCCAGGGGTGAGCAAATCTTGTATTTTGTTTATCTTACGGTACTTTGTGCAATTCTAACTTTAGGGTCAAATTGATTGTTTGCATACTAGTAAAATCATCCGTTATTACTTTTGTCACAAGAATATTGACAGTGCC